TCAGCATCAGGCATTAAGGGTGAGATGGGGAGGTGTGCAGATGCTTTCTAAGGGCCAATTCTGAAAGGGACAGAACACCCTAATTCCCACCTCAGGCAATAGGAATTGGAGGTACTCCGCACTTCTCAGCAATGCTCTGCCTCAGCAGGATGGCTCAATAACCCTACATCTGGCCAACTCTGCTCCTTCTCCTCTCTCTTGCATGTCTCAGTTGAGGGAAGAGCCCATTTTGCTCTGTGTATTTTGAGCATTGTTAATAAAGTTGTATTTATTGCAATAGCCAGTATCTGTGTAAGTTTTACATAACCGTCATCCCACCCGCTGCTATACAGGAGTGCATTTGAAGAGGGTCATAAAATGAATGCATTTTGTCACTTGGAGGTAGCTTTAATTTAAGGTTCAACCATTCATATCTCTTACTGATCCATCTACTCTAGAATTAATTGATTAAATGAATAATTACCGTCACTTCTTTCCCTGCACTACCGATGACAAATATCCTTCTGACCATATGGCACAAGCTGTATCTTCAACACATGTTCTCTCTCCTCCCACCCACCCCCTTTTCTTTAATTAAAATTACTGTCAATTAAAAAAAAAACAAATTTGATCTCCCTGATTCAGTGCATCTCCCAGGTGTCTCAGACTCTCCCCTCTACAACGTTCCTAAATGCTAATCCACATCAATAAAATGCTGTCAGCACTCTGATAGTTAACAAACAAACAAAACTCAGCTTTGATCATTGCACTGAGTTATTTCAGTGTCTGATCATTGCCTGTCATTTTCAGCCTTATTCCCAACTTTCATGCATGAAAACTCCACAGTAACTCAGTTAGCCTCACCTGAGTTGCTCTTGGTTTATATCAGTGCAACTGAGAGCAGAGTGTTGACAGTACCCTGTAAGCTCATTAGAGAAGACGTTATATATTCCTTTGAATTTTGTTACGCTGTGATTCCTTTGCTAGCACGTATCTTACTGCTAAATAATAATTCAAATAAAAGTGTTCATAGAATACACCAAGCAGATACAAGTTTAATGCAAGGTTTTTCACAAGGTACTAGGACACAACTCAGTGACTCTTATGGATCTGAAATAGCTATGATAAATGAGGTTTATGTGGTTGCCGCCTATCTTCAGTTTGAGTTAAAAACAGTATATTTTTCATGTCAAAAATTTTCACTTGCAAAAGTTTCCTTAACATGAATTTGGTGGACCTTTAATGAGCAGCAAGTTATAGTGGGCTCTCCACAATACACTTCTTGAGTTAATTAAGGAAACAAGTGATCTAGTGAAAGGATATTTTATTTGACGAAGAAATGCTTCAATGTTCCTTAAGTGAGTTCAGGAGATTTGCAAATAGCTATTACAGTGAAAATGCCATCCCAAATGAGTAGAAGTAATGAGATGAAATCAGGCAAAGAAAAACTTAGGCTAAATGTTGAAGAACGTTTCCTGGCCACGAGATGCACTGAATCATAGTGTCTCAAAGAAAGTAATGGAAGCCTTATCGCGTGGGACATTTAAAAGCTGGACTGAACAAAGAAAATGTGCTCAAGAGAAACATCCTATGTTGGCAGTGGAATGAACTAAATGCACTGCATTTTGCATCTCTGATCTCTGTGATTCTGATTCCATTTAAAAATATTGGGCCAAGATTTTCAGCTCCTGCTAAGTTGTACAGTTCATGCAGTGAAGAGGGTAGGGGTGGAAGAGAGGTGGCTCTTAAGCTACCTTTTCAGCTCTCCCAATCTTGGGCCAGCCAGAGACCAATTCATCCCCTGGTGTTTGAAAGCCCTGCATGCAGCCTGTTTAAAATACTAAGACTGAAATAATCTCATAGAAACCACCGCTCCACCTGAGGATCCGGGAAAGCATCATAAGCTGCACCTTGGCCACCCTGCATGTCTCCTCTAGTGCAGGGAGTGGGAGGGTTAGTGCCAATGTAGCCAGCCCTGTGTCATCTGATCATTCTTCTAGTTTGGAATTTATGGTGGCTCTGTAGTGTGCAGTAGAGGATAAGAATCTCGCCCATTTATTTAAGACCTTATTAAACATCTTTTAAATGTCAATGTATTAGCTGACTTGTTTGTCTTTGCAGGTTATGTCTTGGCTAGGGATTGTCAGATTCTCCTGCACACACATACACAGCCAAAAATTAACGAAGAAATAAATAGCTACTAAAATACCCATCTGCTGCCTATAACTACCCTCCTTTCTCTATGCTCTAGCGAGCCTACCTCCAACCCATTCCTGTGGTTTACAATCTCATTTCTGGAAGGCTGAGCTTTTCTGGGAAATGATGCTACGTTAGGGATCATTTTGGTACAGTTGAATGTGTATAATTCCAATTAATGATTATATGCAACTCAATGATGGCACTTCCATTCAAGAAACAGAAAAAGAGTCAGATCCTAAATAATAAAGCCACCCACCCGCCATACATGTGAACGGTCCAACAGGCAGCTTGTGTGATTGCACAGGGAGGCTCCGTGGATGTCACGGTGTGCCTGGATGCTCCATGTGATTTACTATGCTGGGGAGTGGAGAAAGGGGAAACATGGCATCTGCATCTTTCGCTCCATGCATCTCCTGGTAATTCTCTTTCCACTTTGACTGCTGTAGGTTTGCCCATGAATCCTTCCCTCCCCGAGCCCTGTGGAATTCCTCAGAATACAGCTTATTTACCCAGGCTGGGATTTTGCTTTTAGTGAATAAGCATTTCTGGCCCTATGATTCATGCAAACACCATCTTCTATGAGTGACAAGCCTGGCATTCCATCCAGCAAAGATCACAGCATTATTTTACCCCTCCCCTGAGGTTCTGGGGGATGTGCCTATGTGCAGAGTTGCAATCTAAAGACATCAGTTAAAACTAGAATTCTTTTATAATGTCAATAGTACAGATATTTGTAATATTGTCAGAGCCAAGACATATTGACACAGAATTGTCACTTTTTTCTTTCAGCTATTTTAAATTTTATATAATTTTTGTTTAAATATTGTGATGCAATGAAATGAACATGAGTTACTACCATGTGTTTATATGCAGGGTGTTTTTTTTTTTTTTGGTGGTGGTTGTTTTTGTTTTGTTTTGTTTTTGACAAGGGTGAGATTTAAAATTGTGATGGATTTAGTGCTGGTAAAAGATTCTTGGTGAATGACTTTTATAGAATAACGTTACAGAACAAATGAAACATCCTCTTTACCCACAATATATCTCAAACTTGTTCTGGAATGATTCTGTCTAGAGGAGGATGGTTCACGTCCATACAACCATCTGGGTGTTGGCCTTTTTGTTGAGACAGTCAGTTAGTACCAAACAGGTACTTTTTGGTGATTTTGTGATCAGGACGTTTTCTTCCCAAGAACTAAATTAGACTACGATTTGAAACTGGAGTAGGTCAATACATACTTGGGAAATTTTATTGCACAGTAGCAGGATCCACCTGGATAGGAATTGCACAACCAGGGCCATTGACAGGGGGAAGAAAGAGGGCAGATGTCCCTAGGTGTGGCAATTTAAAATGGTCTGGGGCTCCTGGCT